GGCTGCTGAGCTCACGCTCCAGCCACATCTGCGGGCACCCAGGCCAGCGGGCTCCTGGTTCCCACCAACATGGAAGCTTCTAGAACAGCACTGCCTGGGTTCTAGGTTCTCCAGACATTGCCAGGATGCTTACCAACTATGTGCGTCAGGAAGTTACTTTACCGCTTGGTTCCTGAGCTCCATCATCTTTAAAACTGGGTTAAAGCAGCAGCTTCCTTGTGGGTCCTATTAACTACCAGAGGCCCAGTGCACAGAATTTGTGCATGGGAGGGGTGTCCCTCAGACCAGCCTGCACCCTCTCCAATCTGGGCCCCCTCAGGGGATGCTTGACTGCTGGTTTAGGCCTGATCTGATCCCTAGGCAGTTGGACATCTCTCTTGCAATCCGGGACCACTGGCTCCTAACCACTCTGCCTGCCTGCCTGATCACCCCTAACCACCTGCCTGATCGCCCCTAATCGCCTCTGCCCCTGCCACAGTGGCTTTGTCTGGGAGACATCTGGTTTCTCCAGTCTAATTAGCATATTACCTTTTTATTAGTAAAGATTAGAAAAGTGAAAGAAAATTGTGCATGTGTGCACGGTTGGCTCAGACAGCGTCCAGCATTTAGGAAGCATTGACAACGGTCATTACAATTCTCTACGAGGCCACTTTTAATTGTCTTCTGACCACTGAGAGGTGGGTGTGAGCGTCCCCATTTCATGGAGGAGGAGAAGGGGCCTGCCTCAGGAAGACTTGGTCATGAATGCCGGAGTCTGTGATGTGCCCGCGGGGAGGGGTCCCTGTAGGGACCTGATCTCTTGGGGCGCACTGGCCTCCCTTCCCTGCACAGTCCACAATGCACCATCCTCCAGGCCTGGGCAGTTCTGGGCCATCGGACTGGGTGTCAGGGAGAGAAGCCAGCCCTTGGAGGCAGGAGGGGGGGGGGTTGAGGTAGAAAAGGGGGACAGAGGCCACATAACTCTGGTGACTTGCAGGTGTGTGGGGGTGGGGAGGTGACTGCACCACATCCCTTCTCCTTGCGTACCCTCGGACGGCA